TCAGGGATGGGACCGGCTGCTTGGTTTTTCTTCCTCTCGGTCACTGGGACCTCGGGTTGTCCAGGGCTGTGCGGTAGCTGTTTCTCGACAGCAAGTATTGTAACGTGAGCCCGAAGACATCTTTCCATGGGAGTGCCTCAGCTGTGTTGAAACTGATCTTCCCCCCCACCCCCCAAAAAAAAAACCACCACCCTTAAACTTTGAGCCCGTGTTTGTGGACTGACATCGGTTAAATCTCTTTGAGGGCTTTCTGTAGCCTCAGCCTGTCGGGGTGTATTTTTCTTAGCGTGTTCCCCTTCGTCTTGTGGTTCTTGGGGTTGGTTCTGCCCGTGCTGAGCCGTGCAATACCTCCTGATCCTTACGTATTTGTACTTCATGCTGAGTTGGTTAAGTTCAATTACTTATTAATTACAGGGATTTCATAGCAGCGGGAATGCTTTGCTGCCAGCCTTTGCAGGCTGCAGTGTGTGAAGGACAACAGCATGTGTTTGGGCCCAGCAGAGAAGAGCTGTTCTGACTAGCCCGTGGCTAGAGAGCCGGCCGTGCCCTGCAGAAAGCTTGCTGTTGGGATTTGGCGCTCTCCCATGTGACCCAAATACTTTATGCTTTGATTTTTCTGTGCAGAAGAACCGTTCGGGGGGTGAATTCTGCACCTGGAGGATCTACTTGAGAGAACAGCCTTTATTGACCGAGGGGAAATATTTTGTATGCGTTGCAAGGTGCCGAGCTGAAATTCTCCCTTGTGCCCGCTGTGGGGAAACGCTTAAAATGCTGTGTTTGAAATCGGAGGTAGGTTTTGAGGCCTGCGCTGGAATTGGGGTTTGGTCCCCGGCGTCTCAGCCGGCACGAGGTGATGAACCGACCTTTAGTCTGTCGCCGAACCACGCAGCGGCGTTTGAAAGAATTCAGATCTGTGGATAACGATGGTTAATGAGGGGGCACGAGGGGTGTTTGCTCGAGGCTCTCTGGACCCCTGGCTTCCCCCTCCCCGGGGCGGGCAGCAACTGTGGCTGGAAGGATGGGGGATTTCCTCTTGCTTTCTCCGCCACTTCTCCTCTCCTGGGAGAAGTCGCTTTTAATTTGCCCATGTATCTTCTTGTAGCACTGCCAGATTGGCTCTCGCCCTTTTCCAATATTGCCTATTGCTTTTGTTAACCTGGCTGCATAAATCAGCCCCAAAAATATTACATGGTACCAGCCACGTTTTGGCGGCGTGAACGCCCCACGTCTCTTGGCACGCTCTGCCAAGAGGACGCTAATTCTCCCTGGGTCTGTTAAAATCCAACTTCTGCAAGTAAATCTTAGCAGGGTTGTGAGTTGGAGTAGAAAACAATAAAACAAGGCTCCAAAAATAGCTCTGATTTCCCTTCCTTTCCACAGCAGCACCCTGCGCACAATGGTGGGGGTGGGGTTCCCCGGGAGGCACGGGGGGCCCATCCGCTGCCGCCTCCCTGGCACGGCGATACCGGCCCCCCGTTCGCCTGCCCGCAGTATCCCCGGCG